TTTTTTTTTTTTTTTTTTTTTTTTTTTTTAAGGTATTTGGGAAAAAGGCTTGTAGAAGGATCCAGATTCATTTTTTGGAAAAAAAAAAAAAATCTAGTTATTGTAAACAAGCATTTTTTTCTTAAGTGGCAGAAACTAAATTCAGGTAAACAGCTGAGGACACAATGAAATTCATGTGAATCTACACTGCTTACTACTGAAGAAGCAACCTAAAGCTACAATCAAGAGTCTGCTGCAAGCACAAGCTGGCAGACTGATGCACATTATGGATCTTGCTAACAACAGAGGTCTCAACCTGCTACTCAATTTTCTGCTTATTGTCCTGGTTCTGGTGCTCGCATTTATCCTTGTGAAGCTGATGTGAACCTGTGTGAGGCTCTGCTTCCATCTCCAACTTGTTTTGAGGGTTTTACCATGAGAATGTAGACACTCCAAACTATTTGAATATAAATATGCAAAGACTGCAGAGACTGACATAGCTGAGGAAGTGTTCACATACTGATTTTATCAATAAGCAATCCTAAAAGTTGTGCACAATTATCTACCTGCCATTGAGTAAAGAAAGCAGCTAGAGCCTTGCTGAGTACATGGAGAAACTGAAGTATGCATCAGCAGTTACTGTAGTTTACTCACTGCTACAGTATTTAAAGACCTAAAAAAGACCTGCAGCCTTCAAGAAACATCATTTCTGCAAAAGGGGACAAGAGAAACAAAATTTTTTAAATGGGATTTCCACAGAACATGTACTGCATGGGAAATGATATGGATACAGCAGGAAGGCAGAACAAAACACCTACATTGCGTTGACAGCGCGCATCTAATTACCTGTGGAGAGCAAAAGCACAGATGCTGTAGACAGAAACAAGGATATCCATGAAAAGCATCTGGCAGCAGCTCAGATGAGGGTATGTTAAGTTTAAATCTGAAAACCTAATTATTAGTTATACCTTTTTTGACCACCTACAGTTCACAGCAACACCTTAAAAGCCATAAGCCATTAGTGTCATCCAGTAGTATCAAAAGAAGCTGTCAAAGCAACTAGAAAAACAAACAACCATTAACAAGGGTTATCATAACTCCTCCTAGAAAGCCCTTAACACCAACACATACAGGAGCAGTAGGTACATCTGCACAACTGCAAGGAGTATGCTACAGCCTCAGCAAGCCGGATTTACCACTTATGCACAGGTCAAGTGTACAGCGTGGGAGCCCTCAACCACACCACTTGTACCTGCCAGTGCAATCATCCAGTCCATAGCTTGTCCTCACTTTAAGCATGCAACATAAGCTTCTTGCAGGACCTTCTTCTACAGCCCTTTACAGGATGATGTACTTTCCCAACAGGTCCCTGGGAAGGGCAGTGACCAAGAAAAAAGCTGGCTTCTGCTGGAATTATTTGCCCAGAAGGTAGCTCTACAAATATTTAAAATTGCTTCTATAAGCTACGTATCTATCTAGATCTTTCTTATGTTAATACAGTAATGTCAATTCCTGTCTCTTTGCATTTAAAGCAGAAAACTTTGCACAGCTACATCACTGTAAGCACTTTATCACTTCGATAATCTTGGAAAATTCTGCTTTAAAAAAAATAAATCTGTAAATTTATATACAAGGGATATATGTTTTAACAGTTACACAGTTATGTATTATTTAGGAGGATTTCTGCTGATGCTTGACACAGATGGCTTGAAGCATACCAAAACCACAGAAAAAGCTATGAAGCCCACGAATCAAGATTACAAAAAATGGTTCTCGCAACAAAATGGCTATTCACTGATACACTGCTCGGGACTGTCCAAGGCCTTCAGCCAGAGCTTATAGACTGTCTGTATGGTCTTCTGTATATTCAAAAGTTTCAAAAGTTACCTATCTTAGGAAAACCACTAGGACAGTTTAATAGCTAAAGTTAGATAAATGAGTTAGCTCTGACAATGATTTTATAACCATATATTCCTTATTATTAAAAGGAGAAAGATGAATCTACTGCCACCAACGATCACATATTTCAAGATCCAAAATTACATACAAAGGAAGCCTATAAGAAACTCTGCCATTAGCATATAGAAACAACCCCAAGAAACAACCCCAGCAGCCTCCACTCAGCCAGCAATGAAAACTACAAAACCTTCAACAAATGTTGTAATAGGCTCCTGAAACTGAAACATTAATTTTCCTGAGATGACATATAAATTTGGCAAAGTTATTAGTTAACCAATGCCAAGTCTCTTTTTCCAGTCAAGCATGGTCCAAGTTTGGTTTCCCATCGTCTGCTAGCACCTACTCCAGACTGAGCCCACATATGCACCAAAGGAATCCCAGCTGATGGACTACCAACTTCACAGCAACAGAACAAAAAAGTTTAATTTGGGCTCACAGTGAAGGTATTCACTCTGCTAAAGGTGATAATTCTTCATGCTAGAAAGTTTTATCTTGATGAAAAGTATGGTTTCATCAAAACATGACACAGGAAAAAATGTTGATATTAATCATGTTTAGTTTTCTGATTTGCCAGGATCATAAGGAAAACTAGTTTTGAGTTGACATTTAAGAATAAAGTTTTCTGTGGCAAGAATATTATTTGAATAATGTAACTTTTTCTTTCAGTTAAAGTTTTACAACTTTTTAGGTATCCATGAAGTTTACTTTCTTCCTTCTCTGTTTTGAAATTAACATTGTTGCAGTATCTCTAAATTTCTCACCACATTAAAATTTAATTCCCAGTAACTTTTATACACAGGGTATGAACAAGGCAGTGTTTTCCTCTTAAGATAAAACAGTAAACATGATACATTATAGGAAAAAACCTGCACTTAAGCAATTTCCATCTATTATCTCTGCTGTATTCTAGATGCATTCAGATAATAAGACAGATAATAGGATCAGCCTTTAAGAAATGCTTTTACATGAAAACATACAGCCTTTTTATCCAGATTTGTATGGCCTCTTAGTTCAGTAAATGGGAACCACTGTCATGTATTATAAGCATTTTTTCCCTTAACACAGACCTAATCACATACTTCTGTACTTAAGGGTTTAAAAAAAATAGGTAATACAATGGTCATATCTGCTGAAAGATCAGCTGTACATTGAAAATAAATATAAATTCTGCATGGAAATTACTTTCATTGAAGCACTGTTAAAATCTGTTCCTTGGAAATGTGTATGACAACATTTATCTTCAAAAAGCATACATTAAATAGCACACATCAGCTAGAGCAGAGCTTTCACATACAACTCCATGGTGTTACACAATAACCACAGATCAGATCCTCCTTGGAGATTTATTTCTGAAACGGACAAACATCACACCCACAGCTAAATGATGCACCTTCTCTGAAGAGGCATTCTGCAGAACCTTTTCTACAGTTGCAAACCTGACTATGTCCTGAAAGAGAATCTCAAAGTAGCTGCAGATGTTCTATCCAGCACTCTGAGCCTCCCTTATAAAGCACAGTAAATATTTTATTTTAAAAATCAGAGTTTACAATTGGAATGGAAAAGCCATTTATATGCTTTTTAATGTGGGAAACAAAATGTAACAAAAACCCAACAGGTAGATGCTGAGTTCAGTCAAGACTACTAGGAAACAGAGAATCTTAATTTTGAGAGTAATTCACCTTGGAATAGCTTTTAAGGGGTATAATGCATTATTCTTCACAGTAAACATAAATTCAAAGCTTGTCTCATTTTATAAAAATAAACTCTAATTCAGGGTAAACTGTCTATATTAGTCTGTGAGGGCATAAAATTTTATTTGTAGACTGCACTATTAAGTCCAACAGCTGTTCCTGAACTATCAGTCCTCAAACTCAACTCAGAAAACTGCTGCAGTCTTTTCTTACTTTATCAGTGATAGCTGCCCTCTATAGACTCTCCTTCTACCAGACTGCCTTAACGATGCACAAAACTGGTCTGGATCATTAGTTAAAAGCAAAGTTCATTTTGTTTTCTGTTCATGACAATGATAGTTTTGAAGTAAAATGATGATAAACTGTAATTTGTTTCAGTCCTGTAAAAACCACAGCTTTTCTATCAGCACACTTATTAAAAGCAAAACTGCAAAAAAAAAATCCCCACTAAGAGGAAAATAAAAAGTTTCTATAGAGCTGCAGCTTTTTCCCCTTTTATAAAGCATCAGCCTCCTCTAGGAAAATCTTATGTTTTCTGCTATCTCTCTCATTCCTAGGTGTTATTTCCACTTAGGATCGTAGACTTCTTGGTTTCTCAGAAATAATAGCATATCAGTTCCCAGGTGGGCATATGGTGATCTTTGAAAAAAATCCATAGCTCAATGAAGCTGAGGTTTCTTTAAAAAACAGGTGTCATGACAGGAAGAATCATTCTACTTTCTTCAGCTCTTCTGGCATCCCTCCTCCTTAAGCTGTAACCTCAGGGCAGAAGGCCAGGGCAGGCAGGGAGGGCCTGTAAAAGCCCAATGGCTCATGGCTCTTCCACACACTTTAACTTTCCTTTTGTCTGGGTCCTATTTCACAACCACATCTTCTTACTTGAAGAAATGTAATAGATAGCAATTCAAGGCCCATAAACACAACTCCAAATCATACCAATGAAATTGCTTGCTAAGGCCACCAGGAACCTCCTCCACACCCCTTGTGCCCTTAATTACTGTCAGACTCCCTGTCTCCTACCCTCTTGCAATCAAGCAGGCAATCAGGGTAAGCAGAGCAAAGGCCACAGCTTCAAGGACTTCTCCTTTTTTCTAGGACTGACCTGACAGCCGATAGGATCATTGCTTCCTAAGCCAGGGGCTAGATGGATCATGTGACATATACATCAATACTGATACAGATATAAAAAGAACAGGAACAAGACAAAAACAGTTTTAGGTAAAACTTCGTCCTATAATCTTACAATCTCAAAAACCTGAAAAGGTGCAGCCCCATTTTATGAATTCAGCCAAAAAGATAAATAATGCTTCTGCTCCCCCTGTTGGCTCTGTCCTCAAAACACAGCTCAGGATCACGCCTGCATGAACCATTTCTGTTTTCTGAATACCGTAGTAATACAGACAGGGCTTGTATTTAAGCAAAATCAGAGTGAGAAAGCACTTGAGAGATGAAAAACAAAAGCTGGGAGTTATTTTGACCTAAACATAAGATTTTCTAAAACACTCATCCTAAAAGTGTTGTGAAAGGTACATAAAAGAAGTAGTAAATAAAGCTTACTCTGAAGATGTATTTAAAACCAAAAGGAGAACCACCAGGCACAGTAATCTGCATGCAAACATCACAGAGAACACTGCTGACAGCTGCAGTCAGCTACATTTCACATGTCTCCATGTGTTTGGAAAGTCCTGAATGAATGGATGGACAAAGCTCCTCCACCATACCCTGCTGTCACTTCCTAAAGCCCTCATGTGCTCCTTGATACCACCGGTAGCTGCCCACTGCCAAGACCCCGGTTGGCAATGCCACCAACCCAGCAGCAGGAGTGAGCCAGTTTCTGTCACTTTGGTTCCAAGAGTACCCCATCAGCCTTTGCTCTCTACCTGGGTTATTTCTCAACATTGAAATCTTCAGAAAGCTTAGAGAAATATGAGGGTTTCTGCAGTAGTAAGGGTAATGTAAAGGGTTGCTGCCTGAAAATGTCAGGTTTTTAGAGAGACCCTCAAGGATTACTATTAGTTTGGCCTATTAATTAGCTTCAATTTTTTTAATTTGGGGGGAAAAAAAAAGTTCAGATCACCATCAAAAGCAAAATTGGATCTTAAGAACCTCTAAGCTTGTCAATCTTTCCTTCAGTACACAATGGAAGAAACAACAAAATTTGAGCACAACTCCTTGTAAATTGCTTAATATATCTTCAGGCTAGAGAAGACAGGTAATTTGCACATACAGCTAGATTATCTCTGATCAGATAATATCCCAGCCTACCCTTAAAATGCCTTTCAGGAAAATTTACATATTGTAGTCTGCCTGAGATTTTTTTGTCAAGCCAAGGTTACCTACGTAGGTAAACCTGAACATTTAGATTTTAAATACTGCCTTCCTCCACAAGCTCTTTTCCCATTAGGGGAAGAGCTGGAAACAGACTGTGAATTGTCATGTTAGAAAGGGTTATCTGTCTCAAAACCATTTGCTTGATATTTTCTATATGAAAATACTTCAAGTAGGACACATTAAAAACATGTATTATTTTATTCAAATAAACCAGATTTGTTGACTACTATTAGCCGATTCTAATTGGTTAAAAAATAAGCAGTAATATTACACTGAATTCAGCTTTTAAGTGCTAGGCATAGTGATACTGAATATTCATCTCTGCAGTACACAGGAGTCATTCTTATTTTGTTGAATGCATAAATGCAGCCTCTTTGTAAACCCATTCAGACCAAAATACATTCACATTTTCCCAACTACACTGTGACCAAAGACTCTCTTAAAACTACTGAAAATGTATTTGATGAAGCTCTTACTGTGTGCAGCTTCAGAAAATGAGATGCTAGTGTCATGCAGACAGGCACAATGAATCAGAGTAAACTGTACGCAGATGCCAGGAAAAAAAAACCCTGTTGGTACTCAGGTAATATTGAGAAACAAGCAGCAGCAGCCCCAATCAAAGTTTAAAACCATGATCACCCGGTTGAGGACCTGTTCCCTTTCCTATTTTATTAAAAACTGCCTGATGTTATTTCTCAGGTGTAACACATGATGGCAGCAAACACCAAGATTTAGCCTTACCTGCACAGGAGGCTGTTCACCTCCTGTTCTAAAATCTTCATGCTGCACATGCCATGCAGCTACACCGTAGGGCTCCTCAGCAGTCCTGCAGTCCAGGGGATTTGCACGTAACTGTTCTTTAAGCCACATTTGAGTCCTCACTGCCGGCTGTATGGGAGCTCCACTCACAGCCTGTTGTCCCAGAGTTGCATATCTCTGTCCAAAAGCTTCAGAACCGGCTGCTGTAGGTTTGCTTTCAGGTAAGGCACTGTAGGTCAAGTCTAAGGCATGTCTCCTACTTGAGGAATCTGAAACAAAGTCATCTTTGCTGCATGTTTCAAATTTGTATTTGCAGTCCAGCAGAGAAGATCGCTTTTTCCCCACCTCTTTGTCCTCAATTTTGAGCAACTCCATGCTATCATGCAAACAACTTGGCCCATTTGTCCTTAGTTGTGGTGACACAGCTTTGTCTGCACTAGCCCTGGAGTCCACTGAATGACTACTACCATCTTGGCTGAAGGTATTTGGTAAGCTGAGTTTAGACAAGGAGGACCATTTTCTTACAGGTCTTGCATCTTTCATGTCAAGAGAATTGTCCAGGGCACCCTGATTTCTGCCTCCTCCTGACCGTAAAAAGCTTGTACTCCACTTTGAGCCATCAGACTTGAAAGCTTCCCTGTGTTTGGAAAGTGAAGAACTGGCATTAGACGGCATCACATGGGCAGTGGGAATAGAAACCAGTGATCGGCTGGGCTTAAACGAGGATGTACCACTTGAAGTTGAATGATCTGGGAAGAAAGATTTATCGTGTAAATAAGTACAATACAGAACTCATATTAACATCAGTGCCCAGAAGACAAAACATCAAATTCAAGGTGAAATTCAAAAATAGAAACAATTTTCTTGACGAAATAAGGTCTTCTCAACCATTAAATATGAGGAGAATGGAAACTAATAAAGTGGGAGATCTTCAAATTTATTTTGCTCAGGTGTCATCATTACAAGAGTGGAACTGTATTAAGAGGCGGCAATAACAGCTCCAAATAAAATTTTCAGGCTGTGAACAGAAGGCAACATTGATTCCCCAGCTTTAAGGTGGCAGGCTGGATTTCTCCCCCACCCCACATAACATATTAAGCAGCTTCTATATCACAAATGGTAGAGTGGTATCACAATTCAGAAGCGCCAGGACTGGTTCCTCTTTCACTACCCCTCCTCTCACTTTTTAAAGGCAAAACAATTCTCTAAATGCACTTTGTAAAATGGCAGTGCTGGAAACGAGTCCGTTTAATGATAGTCTCTTGGACAGAGCTATTTCATCCCTTTCGGATCTCACTGATTTCAAACTATGCTTCCTGTGCTGGTTTTGGCTGGGGTAGAGCTAATATTCTTCATAGTAGCTGGTATGGGGCTATGTTTTGGATTTATGCTGGAAACAGTGTTGATAATTCAGGGATGTTTTAGCTATTGCTGAGCAGTGCTTACACAGAGTCACGACCTTTTCTGCTTCTCACACCACCCTGCCAGTGAGGAGGCTGGGGGTGCACAAGAAGTTGGGAAGGGACACAGCTGGGACAGATGACTCCAACTGACCAGGGGGTTATTTCATATCATATGGCATCACGCTCAGCAATAAAACTAGAGGGAAGGTTGGCGGGAAGGCTGCTGCTCAAGGACTGGCTGGGCATAGCTCAGTTAGTGGTGAGCAATCGGTTTCATTTACATCACTTGTCTGTCTTGGGTTTTATTTCTCTCTGTTACTTTCCTTACAATTGGGGTTTTGGTTTTGTTTTTCAATTATTAAACTGGTTTTATGTCATCCCACCGGTTTTCTCCCTTTTACACTTCCAATTCTCTCCCCCATCCCACCAGGGGTGGGATGGGGGAGAGGAGCAAGTGCGCAGCTGTGTGGTGCTTAGCTGCCAGCTGGGGTTGAACCACAAGGCTTCCCCAGGCTATTTGCTGAAAAACAAGATTCTGAAAAATTTCATGTTCCATTTAGATTTTGTGTTTACAGACCCAAATACAATACCACACAGAAGCTGTGTGTAGATGAAGAACAAAGAAATCGGTGAAATTATATTCAGGAGGGGACTGAAGAGCAAATATGAGGAGAGGTAAAGGAGAGGTTACTGGGGATTGGATGGGAGCTCTCACACCCAGCAACATGTGCTTAACATCACAGGCTGTGGACAACCAGAAATAAACACCTAATCCTCTCATTAGAGGATCAGCTCCCACCAAGTCACATGCTTGCACCTTAGCAAGCTCATATTGCTCATTAGGTTCATGGCAGATAGACAGAATGAAATTACTCTAATTAAAAGATTCTTCTGGTGTCCTTTTTGCCAAGAGCAAGACAGATACACCCTTCTTGTTTCTCTCATAACCTGGAGAGAATTTATATCTTTTGGATTTGTCAGATGGTAGAAGAGCTCATAGTGGGACGATTAAAAAGAAAAAAGGCACCTCTAGAAGTAAACTTATCCAGTTTGATGGCTACACTAGGTTAATGTGATTTGGTGGAAGCCAGAACATGTAACTAATTGGACACACTTTTAAAGAATATATTTGACTCAATATACAATACCACAGAAAGGAAAAAGAGAGCTTATAATGGTGCAACAACTTTTTTAAATGGCAGCACTTTTTTTTTCTACGTATTCAAATAAAGATTTCCTTACCCTCTACTTGAATACTCCTCCCTGTTTAGGACCAGATTTCCTCACTCCTTGCACTTGCAGCACAACACAAAATAACATATACCTACAGCCACGTATTTTCTCATGTATTTCATGAGAAAAATACATCATACTCCACTAAATAATAAACAGTTCCTTGACGGCTACTGCTTATTACATAATTGTCTTCGCGCTCCTCAAGGACCCAAGGCTCCTCAGAAGGTTGAAATTCTTGCTGAAGCCTTCCTGCCTCCTACAGAGTCACTGCCCCACCACACACCCTCCCCATTTCAATGCATAAACTCACACCACACTGTCTCTTGCCTCTGACCAGCCACCTACTTTCACAGTAGTTAAAGAACACAGATATCTTCAAGACTTGCCAGAATTGTCAGAGCTGGTTGAAATGGACCAACAGTTTAGAAGTTATTCAGAGGGTGCTGATGATGGCCATAAAATACACACAGGATGCTCACATTAGATAAAGTGGAGAGTAGAATACTACCAGCTTGTTACCTGATGGATTACATTGCTAATCAATGTGAGGTACCCCATTATTTACATGCAGGATGAAAGACCTTACCTCCTCTCTGCCCTTCTTCCTTAAAAATTCTATGCTGAAGACAGAAATTATTTCATTGGCCATTTTCTCTGTCTTGATATTGCTCAAGAGGTGGAACAACTTAAAGGAGACAGAAGGCCACGCAACCCATTTCAAGTGGAAGGAATCACATTTTTCTGATCAAAAGTGCTTGCGCCCACAGGTATTGCAGCAGTGGAGATAGTGATATGCAACACCAAAAGTTCTCAAAATTGTGATATGCCCACCACATGTAAGCAATCTGCCCATGCCAGATGCAGTATCAGCTTCTCTCAGTTCTGCTTTCCTGTCTAGAGCACAGTAGACACTTGCAATAGCCACTACAAATCAGGTCCATCTTGCTACTCAGTGTCACAGGGGCTGCCAGCTTCCAACCCTGCTCTGCAATAGAAATAAAGGTACTTGCTCATCTCTGACTGAGATGTCAAAGCAGTGACAAGAAGGTGAAAGAGGTGTATTACTTGGTGGAGCTGGAGTCTCAAACACATATATTATGAGATGTAAAGCACAGGGTTAGAGCCCTGCTTTCAGGGAGCATACAGCAGAAGAGAAGGGAGAGAGACTCCTACTCTCCTCCTACTCTCCTAAGGAGAATAGGAAAGAAAACCCAGTAGAAAGCAATGCACCTTTCTTGTACTCCTTAGCCAGAGGCCTTTGTAACACTCAAACAAACTGTTGTACTGTATCTTACCCAGAAGCTGAATCTGACACAGCACAAAGTCCTGTGAAGGAAGCAGGCACAGGCTTTTTTATATCCAAATACATTAAGAGTATATTAGGATTCAAAAAGAACTGACTGTGGGGACCTATGTTTTGGGATATGCAGATTTCTGTGAGTAGAAATGACACATCTGCAAGAGAAAGGTAAGAGAAGAAATCTTATCTGTATGCATGTAAAGTTCAATACCATTCCATAAAAAATAAAGTAGTATTTAATACAGCAGTTTCAGTCTGAAATACTGACTTTGTCACCTCCATGCAGTCTTCAAACTAGAACTAAAATCAATAATTTTAAGTATGTGATCTCCTTCATCTGTTTTTATTAGAGTACAGGGTTATTCATACGTGGTAGATTTTTATTTTTCCTTGTTCAACTCTAAATTTAAGCCCTGAATTAGATCTAAACTTCTTTTCCTCACTTCTGATTCTAAACTGTTTGAGCAGATTTAAACTTGGAATGCCTTGTACATCCAACTACAGCTGATGGAAGTCTCTGATAATTTGTCTCAAGTGAAACACAGCAATTTTGGCTTCAAGTTGCCCTAATTAGTCTTCCCATTAATGCTCACTGAAACATACGAGAAAATTCACACTTCTTCTTAGAGCATATTGCTTCAGTCTGTCTTGACTGCAGGCTCAGCTGGAAAGAGCCAGCCTGCATTCTGAAACATCTCTCACAACACAAAAAGCATGCAATTCAGAAGTTTCATTAAAAATAACCAAGTATCCAGAAAGCACCATGGAACTTAAAAGACATTACTTCTTCTGTAGTCACAGAAATAAGCTGTCTGGCCAAATCCTGCCAGAAACTACTTTATCCAAGCAGCAGGTTTTCTCTCCCATAGTCAGGGGTAAGCAAATGGCCAGCTGAGAACCAGAAGTGCTCTTCCTCAGCATTATTCACGTTTTCACTTCACTAAACTGGTATTTATTTGAACATAGCCTGTATGTCTCCACAGTCTTTCAATGCTTAAGACTGCTCTCATTAATGAAAACTTAAAGAGACAGGAAAAAAAAAAAAACAACAAAACCAAACACAACTAGGTGCTACCAGTTTTCCTTTGAACAGCATCAAGATATGTCAAATTTTGCCTTTCAATTATCCTAATAACTTTTTTTTTTGTGCCCACCACAAAGTTCCTAAGACAACTTATCTAAAAGACATAATATTTTAATACCAGATCCAATACTTCCCAAACTACATAAACAAGAGAATTAGGAAAATTACATTTTAAAAACACACTACAAGATTTCTATCACATAATAGCAGCAGATGGAATAGCATTCTCCTGGAGAAACTGGCTGCTCACAGCTTGGATGGGCACATGTTTTGTTGGGTAAAAAACTGTCTAGATAGCCGGGCCCAAAGAGCTGTGGCGAACAGAGTTAAATCCGGTTGGTGGCCAGTCACTAGTGGTGCAGGGTCTGGAGCACAGGTCGTACGGGGAGCGGCTGAGGGAACTGGGGGTGTTTAGTCTGGAGAAGAGGAGGCTGAGGGGAGACCTCATCGCCCTCTACAGCTCCCTGAAAGGAGGTTGCAGAGAGCTGGGGATGAGTCTCTTTAACCAAGTAACAAGCGATAGGACAAGAGGTAATGGCCTCAAGTTGTGCCAGGAAAAGTTTAGACTGGATATCAGGAAGCATTTCTTTCCAGAAGGGGTTGTTAGGGGTTGGAATGGGCTGCCCAGGGAGGTGGTGGAGTCTCCATCCCCGGAGGTGTTTAACAGTCGGGTTGACAGTGCTGAGGGATATGGTGTAGTTGGGAACAGTCAGTGTTAGGTTAATG